AAATAAAGAAACCTAAATAAACCAAAACAAAGCGAAACTGAAAGTACCAGGCGTTAATTGGGCTCACGTACCTCTCATTCGGCACAAATCCTAATGTTTCTATATTCGCGATGTATTTGAATAAAACTATTATTTATAATGTAGAGGCTTTGTACTTCACACGCGTTCGTATATCGACAGAAATATCTTCACATGAGCAAAAATGTGCTTGGCATACAAAGTGGACCAGTTATACCACGGACTATTTAAATTGACCAGTGTAACCTTTTTTTTGGTTGACTGTATTTTATTTTGATAATGAACAGACTGCGATGTTTGAGTTGCGAATATGTGGTGTGTGTGTGTGTGTGTGAGCGTGCGACGCGCCGGGTGAGACCGTGTGTGTGTGTGAGACCGTGTGAGACCGTGTGAGACCGTGTGAGACCGTGTGTGAGAGTGTGAGTGTGAGAGTGAGTGTGTGTGTGTGTGTGTGTGTGGGAGCGCGCGCGCGCGAGGCACCGGCGCGATATAACAGCTGAAACATAAAATACATAATTTTGGTAATACAGATAAGAGTAAGACATAATTTGAAAGCACAAAGTGTTTACTTTTATTTTTGCACACAAAATAACAACAGAACATTTGTGATTTTGTAAAATAAAGCAAGGATGAGTGTTTAATTAAAGTTACTTAAGTCAGATATTTTTTGCATATTTATACCTATACTATGATTGAATTTTATTTTTATGAAAACTAATTTTGTTATTTTTAATGTATCTTAGATATACATTTTCCTAAAATCATCCTGGCAACCCATTTTTGGTTGAAATTAAGTAATTATGTATTATTGTTATTATGACACCATAACTTTTGACCAAAATATCGTTCAGTCGTTTCTGTGTGGCTCAGTTCAAAGATCCTCTGAGCCAATTTTTGTAGGAATTGGGAAAATTTTGTCGTAACGAAAAAAGTAATACTGTACTATTTAAAATGGCCACTACTGTTATGGGTGGAGTCTTAATGTAAGCTATTGAATGTGATCAGAATGGGGAGATTATTAAGATTAACTAAGCTTGATTTTTCTAGAACAAAGGGTTCAAAATTTAAAAGCTTTAGAAAAGTGAATTTTTGAACCGGTGGTGGTGCCATAGAGTTGATTCTACAGACTCCAAAATTGGTCAAATCACTATTCATTACCATCTTTACAATTGTGCCAACATTTTTAATGTTAACATTTTTATTGGAAATGAAATGATTTGCATGTTTAAACCACAGAATAAAACATATTTCCATTAAAGAAAATCATAAATGATTACATAAATAACATTTATTAAGTTTATGGAATGTATAAAACACATCAAAACAATCAACAAAGTCTAAACATTTGTGATCTGAATCTAAACAGACTTGCTTTGGCAAGACACTCTTGCTCCTCCTTTTATATTTTGGGCTTTCCTTTGATCTAGTGTTAAATTCAAAATCATCCCTCTACCCAAGTCCTAGATGGGACATCCCCTTTACATCCCCCTTTTTCCATAGTACAAATGCATGACCATTATGTGCATGGCTGCTCCTTAATCTTTCCCAACACTTGACCTGAAGTGAGTATAACCATGATAAGTCAGTGAGTTTACAATCTAACAAAGCAGGTTCTGATTAACAAAACATCCAGTAATGAACTCTGGTCAAACTTGATTTTCAGTGGAAGAGTTTTTTAGGAGGAATAGAACACATTAGTGTATGTGGTTTACTAACATGCTACTAATATTTCTGTATTTATATGATGTTTGACCCAATAACATCTCTTGAATACATGTATGTCCTGTGCTAGTGCTAGATTTGAGACAAGGCAAGTCATTTGAGGAGGGAACTTGACAGTGAGAGAACAGTCATCTCGAGTGTGGCATTTCCATCCACATGCTTTATCTGTGTCATACTAATTCGTTGACATATCAGATGTTTTAGTCAAGTGATTATAGTCCATCTTTCTCACTTGTAAAGGAATAAGCAGCTCAGTCAGAATGTCATAGAGAATATTACCTACTTATTTAGGTTTGCGAGGTGTATTCCACTTTTTAGGATGATGTTTTCACTATCATCTGTTTGTTTTTTAAAAAGATAAGTTGAACACCGTCTTTCTCTTTGCCCTCTTCCTCCTGTGCTGGTCAGATTCTGTTTTCTGCAGATGACGAAATGGAGGATTCAGATGGTGACGACGATGTACGAAGACTCACAGGGCTCAAGCCTGTTAAGAAAAAGAAGCACCGTCTTGGTATTCCAGTTTGAATTCAAATCAATTTAGACTTGAGGCCTCCCTCATTCTCATGACCTCACCTCATTTACCTGAACATGGATCAGAAAGTGAGAGGCATGAAGGCTAACTCAGCCTATGATTTGTGAGGTAAAGGACCCATGCTCTGGTAGACAAACACAAGAGAAGCCTCCGGACATCACTAAAAGGTTTTTTGCTACCCTATGTCAAAGGGTTTTGGCTTAATGAAGATGATCAGACCATAATATTTTCAGTCTGTCAAGGTTTTTTGTGCACATTCATAATTCAGTACGGCGGCTCCTTTGTCATGCTTAAAGAACATGTGATTCTCCAGTGGATATACAACACAACTACATCTCCTCCTCTCATCTGTCCAGCCTTTGAACTGCACAAAGCAATTCAAAACCTTTTAAAAAGTGTCTACCTTACAAATAACATACTGTTGTTCAACTGAAATAAGTACCTTTAACCATATGCATGTGACTGATCACACTGACTTGGGCAAACCGTTCAAGGTCACTCGAAGTTGATTCCAAAGTGTGTTTGTGAGTGTAGCTGCAGCAGAGAGTTTTGTGCGTGTCAGCTGTGAGGAAACTGTGCTAATAAATGTTACAGAATAACATTGGTCAGCAGTTATGAGCCAGCACTATAATACAGTTGGTACAATCTGCTTGCAATGTGTGGTTTTAACCATTCGGCAGCAGACGATTTGAGATGGTACGTAAATCCAGGGATGGCTGTTTCAGACCCCTGACTGGGATGGTTTGTCTTACTGTTTGGCTTGTCAACGTGTATCTGCCTCAATTCAGTGTCGCTGTGTTCTAACACTAATTTTTCCCTGTATTTATTTTCCCAACACTTGACCTGAAGTGAGTATAACCATCATAAGTCAGTGAGTTTACAATCTAACAAAGCAGGTATGCCTTAAAGAAAAGGCTGCACAGACTGTTCTAATTAACAAAACATCCAGTAATGAACTCTGGTCAAACTTGATTTTCAGTGGAAGAGTTTTTTAGGAGGAATAGAACACATTAGTGTATGTGGTTTACTAACATGCTACTAATATTTCTGTATTTATATGATGTTTGACCCAATAACATCTCTTGAATACATGTATGTCCTGTGCTAGTGCTAGATTTGAGACAAGGCAAGTCATTTGAGGAGGGAACTTGACAGTGAGAGAACAGTCATCTCGAGTGTGGCATTTCCATCCACATGCTTTATCTGTGTCATACTAATTCGTTGACATATCAGATGTTTTAGTCAAGTGATTATAGTCCATCTTTCTCACTTGTAAAGGAATAAGCAGCTCAGTCAGAATGTCATAGAGAATATTACCTACTTATTTAGGTTTGCGAGGTGTATTCCACTTTTTAGGATGATGTTTTCACTATCATCTGTTTGTTTTTTAAAAAGATAAGTTGAACACCGTCTTTCTCTTTTGCCCTCTTCCTCCTGTGCTGGTCAGATTCTGTTTTCTGCAGATGACGAAATGGAGGATTCAGATGGTGACGACATGTTTTCAGTATCATCTGTTTGTTTTTTAAAAAGATAAGTTGAACACCGTCTTTCTCTTTGCCCTCTTCCTCCTGTGCTGGTCAGATTCTGTTTTCTGCAGATGACGAAATGGAGGATTCAGATGGTGACGACGATGTACGAAGACTCACAGGGCTCAAGCCTGTTAAGAAAAAGAAGCACCGGCTTGGTATTCCAGTTTGAATTCAAATCAATTTAGATTTGAGGTCTCTCTCATTCTCATGACCCCACCTCATTTACCTGAACATGGATCAGAAAGTGAGGGACATGAAGACTAACAACCTATGATTTGTGGGGTAAAGGACCCATGCTCATACCAACATACACGAGAGAGGCCTCCGGACATCACTAGAAAGATTTTTGCTACCCTATGTCAAAGGGTAGAACATAATATTTTCAGTCTGTCAAGGTTTTTTGTGCACATTCATAATTCTGTACTGCGGCTGCTTTGTCATGCTTAAAGAACGTGATCCTCCAGTGGATATACAACACACTACATCTCCTCCTCGCATCTGTCCAGCCTTTAAAACTGAACAAAGCAATTCAAATAACATACTGATGTTGTTCCACTGAAATAAGTAGCTTTAACCATATGCATGTGATTGATCACACTGACTTGGACGAACGTTCAAGGTCACTCGAAGTCGGTTCCAAAGCGCGTTTGTGAGTGTAGCTGCTGCAGAAAGTTTTTTTTTTGTGCTTGTCAGCTGTGAGGAAATTGTGCTGATAAATGTTACAGAATAACACTGGTCAGCAGTGTTATGAGATAGCATTACAATACAGTTAGTACAGTCTGCTTGCAATGTGTTTTTTTTTTAACCATTTGGCAGCAGACGTTCTGAGAAGGTACGTAAAGCCAGGGATGGCTGTTTCAGACCCCTGATTGGAATGGCTTGTCTTACTGTTTGGCTTTTCAAAGTGTATCTGCCTCAATTCAGCGTCGCTGTGTTCTAACACTAATTTTCCCTGTATTTATTTGTTGTTTTTATGGCCTCTTAAAAGGACAGTTCACCCAAAAATGTTCTCACAGAAGAACAAGCTTCACCGTTTTTGAACAACATGATGGAGAGTACATGATGCTTTTCATTTTTGGGTGTACTGTCTTTAAACTTTGTTTCTGTTTTGCTACTCGTTGCAGGGTAGATGCTGTGGTGCGAATGCTTCTGTAACTTCTTGCACAGTTGGGTGTTACATTGTGGTATCTTTTTATGCGGTATTACCTTCAGGTTTTGTATGCTTTTAAGCATTCCCCGTTGCCTCTATATACTCAGACACTGTCAAACTCTAAACACTAAACCAGCAGGCCTTTCCTTCCAAATGCTTTCTCATCCACCTTCACACTATTCTGCTCTATGGAGCATTTGATTTTATTCCAACACTAAAGCACAGATCCTTGGAGAATGATGCATTTAAATCTTAAATCTTAAAAAGGTAAATCTTAAACCTAGTTTTTGTAATCTTTATTCTGAAGATGGATATAATGTGAAGAGGAAGATGCCTGTAGGTTTAGAGTTGGAGTGAATGTAATTGGGACTACAGGACCAGTTGTTTTATCATTTGCATTGTCAAACTGATATTTAATGGACCAAGTTTGTGGGAGTACTGTTTGCACACGGTATGTGTTTGTGTTTTACAGGGATGAATTGACACCAGGCCTTCTGGTCAGGCCTGCTGAATGAACAAGATTACTGATAAGGATTTCGTCTAGGTGGAAATATAACTGCCTTTCCCTCTTCGGGTTTGATTCTGACTATTATTACAGAGCAATCTTGGTTGGATGTGGAGAGGGGTGTTAAGTACTAAACAATATTAGATGATTAAGAATTACTGACAAATTATGAACTTATGTATGCTTTTTCAATAAACAGTGTAAAAATGGCTATTTGTATGTTGTTATTTTATGATCTGTAACTTCTCTTCCACAGCTTTTTTTTTTACATAAATATTTTAACAGCAAAAGAATGCTTCCTTGACCAGAATTTGAACCCAATCCGTCACTGTGAGAGGGCTGAATCTTAACCACAAGAGAGTTATATATATCAGCATTTTAGAAAATAAAATTAGCTTGTGAATTGTAATTCAGAGCATTTTAAATAGCATACTTTGTTTAACTTCTGTAATATGACCGATACACACTATTCACACTAAAGACGGTAACTATAAAGTTTGAATAATCATTCCAATTCTATAAGATTAGGGAAGTCCATGCCATAACTATAAAAATAATGATATTGTTGCAGTCACTCAGAATATTTCTTAACTGTAAAACCACATAAATGTAAAATGTACAACAGAATGTCAGAATCTATGTTTAAAGAGCTTGAACATTTAAAGTGGCATCCAAGAACATTTGCTGTGGACACCAAGGCTCAGTCACACTGCGAGCCTTAGTGCTCAATTCTGATTTTTGCTCCGATCTGAAAAATAAAGACAAGGACGAGACAAAAGAGAGTAGAGTTTTGAAATTTTATGATACAAGTCCTCATGTTTTGCTTGCTTGTATATAGAGTTGTCACTGTAATACTTCAGTGTTCTGACAACACTGTACTTCCACGGACTACCTTTCGCAACTGTCTTGATAACTTTGGGTATGTAAAATCTTTGAAGTGACTCCCATGAGCGCAAAATCGTGACAGATGTTCATCTAGAGTGACATAAAAGTCGCATGAATTCCGATATGACGGTTTAGACTGTGGTCACATTGCAAAACATCTGACCTGTATGGGATTTAGTACCACATGGAAGTGGCACAAATCGGAATTGAAACGATCAGATTCCATTTGGTTTGTGCTGTTCACCGTCATGAGAAAAACAGATCTGAGTCACATGAGCAAAAAAATCTGATTTGGGCCACATTTGCCCGCGGTGTGAACGTAGCCCAATATAGTTACTGTTATTGTTCTTGATGTGAACTTTAGGTATATTCTGGATTTGACTGAATCCTGAAAAGTGGGTGTTCAATACCAGCATATAGCTGGCTGTGAGTTTACAGAACAACATCCCAAATTGAACATGGACAGACTTACTTTATGTCATCTTCTTTAATTATATTAGGCACGTGGGTGTCATCTGTTGGTTCTTCTGAGCTGTGTGTAGACCTCTCAGGGGAATCCTCCATGCGTGGCCTTTTAATTGGTGTTAATGTAAATGAAGATTCAGATTTGACGGGAAAATCCTCATCGGAGCAGGACACACTAGCACAATGACTCAAAAGAGGTCTCACTTGAATGGCTGTTATTAAACCACATAAAAATGAAAATCAAACCAGTGAAGCAAAACACAAAACTTAAATCACAAGTGAACTTTTAGCTAAAAATGTTACCTTTACTTCTCCGTTTTGGCTTTTTTTGGGTGCGTACTGCTTGGACCGCAACGCTCTTCAGAATCAGAGCATTACACTGGCAGCCTATCTCGCGTGTTATTGGCTGTTGGAAAGATGCAGAAATACAGAAATAAAGCAATGTAAATATTCTTTCTATAGCTCTTCTGTTGTTAGAAAACAACAAAACCATGAACCACAGACATTTTGACCTTAAAGCTGCAGTCCGTAAATTTTGCCTCTTTGTCGCGATCTCCGTTTGAAAAATTGCAGCTGTTTGCGGAATTATCTTCCTTGCGTGGGTTGTGCTCCGCCGCGGCTCCAGCACGGATGAATCTAATGTTTTGAGGAGTATGTGTGGCAGTCAGTCACCGCACCGTTGTGGATATCACAGATTCTAGCCTATGTCTTGGAATGTATGACCCAAATAAGCATTTTCACCGGATATTGTCATCTGAACAAGTAACAAGTCTGCCACGTTTGTTCTGACCAACTGAGGAAAAAAGCATTACAATAAATTGCGCTACCAATGGTGATTTTATCTAAAGATCGGTTAGCTCATATCACATCAAACCATGCAAATTATTATTATTGTTATGCTTTATTCTCAAATTAATGTTAACAACATCAGCATTGCCTATAGTGTTTATTAGCGTGTAGATTTCAACTTCTGTACAGTCTAACCTCTAATTGTCATACCCTTCGAATTTCATATTAAGACATTTTTTTAACCAAAAAAAAAGTTATGCTCCCTTCGAACTGGTTGTCTTTAAAATACAAATCTTGTGTAATCCCAGGCTATCTCTAATCAGAAGCTCATTTAAAACTGGAATATAATTTAATTTCATTCACATGTGTTTCATAAACACATAGTCCTTTCTGGATTACAATCCGCCATCGAAATGATACACTTAATTATTCCAGCTGCTGTGAGAAAAGGCTATAAATGATCCGCCACCTGCAGGATCCTAAATCCCATGCCATACCCTAGTAGCCGGGACAACTTCTTCATGTTTACAGACGTGACGTAAAGACGCGCCAACATTAGGGCTGAAACGATAAATCGACATTATCGACAATAAAAAATTGTCGACAAATATTTTTGTTGTCGAGTAGTCGTTTGATCTCATATGACCTAATGTAAGAGCCTGCAATAACGCGGTTTGACCAGTGTGGCGCTGTAGTGAAAAAATATTATTTCATTAGTTATAGTTTGGTTTGCAGAGATCAAAACTTGATCTAGCTCAGGACTGTTTTGATTATCATAACCCTATAAGGTATTTTAAGAGAGATTATGTTGTGAAAAATAGTTTATCAAAAAATAAAACGTCTTATCACAACCTTTATTTTGTTTCTTATCCATATGACTTACAAAAAGATTTTAGGCAGAATGATGTGTCATTCAGCTACTTTTTCATATAGCTAATTAAATGGTGAATAAGAGAGTTTCTCTGCCATCTCATTTTGTGTGCCAAGTATAATTGTAATTACATAATATGACTTTCAAAAGCTGAAGTGATTACCTTAATTTATTTGTCAGAATATGTATAACTCAATATTTTAACTAATTGCAAAAGCTGAATAATCAATAAATGTCTACTGATTAATCAGCGAAATAATAGATGATTGTTCGATTAACCGTTAGAATAATCGTTAGATTAATCGACTATCAAAATAATAGTTTGTTGTAGCCCTAGCCAGCATGCTCGAATTTCCCGCGAAAACCTACCTGTACCACTCAAATTAGAAAACATTATTAGAAGCTAACCGCTGTGAATCGGGCTAAAGTAAGGCGATAGTTTTGAACACTGGCTGGTTACGTACTTGCTCAAATATTGATTTCTTACCATTTTTAACCAAAAAAAGTTACGGACTGCAGCTTTAAAGTTTACACATTTTTAAACGTTACCTGTAAAACCTGTTCACAGAGACTACTATCCAGACTTATCCACTTTGTTTCTTTTATGAATGATATTGTGAGAAATGTTTCAGGGGGTTTTAGTCCATAAAATTAAAGTCAGTGGTAACTGGTTTTGTTGTTGTTTGGTACAAACATTCTTCAAACTATATTCTATTGTCTTCCACAGATCAAAAAGTCATACAGGTTTGGAACGTTAGGTGAATAAAAGACCATTTTGATTTTGCAGTGAACTGTCCCTTTAAATGCAAAAATCTAACATGGTTGGTGGTTCTATACGTAAGCAAAGAACACTTCCGGTCAGAGTGGGCGGTTCTTCGATAGAATAAACTGCAATGTTAACCAGGCAGGCGCTACTTACCTTCACACTCGGTGCTGGACCAACGGTGTATATTGTCGGAACAGCCATATCTATCAAGCTAAGAAAGTCAGTGAAGCCCATGTCGTACTGCTGTAAATTTGTGAAGCATTCTGGGGCGAAATGCTTCGCACACAACCGCGAGCTCTCCGATATTCCTCCTTCCTCAAAATGCAAAAATTCAAGCCAGCGGGCTCGCAACCACGGCAGCTTGGGGAAAGGGAACAAGGTTTTGTGCGGATAACAACCCAAAACGCACCTTTTCACCATATCTGTCCGTCGCTTGCTATGCTCGTTCAGTGTTTGGCGATCCGACTCTTTTCCGTGACGCGAACTGGTTCTTATTTGACTGTTCATTTTAAAGAATCGGATCGAAAGATCCGGTTCAAATGATTCCTGCGTCATGACGCCGCTACGTCACTCAGCATAGCATACATGAAAGGTTGTTTCCAAGGCGAAGAGCTTAGTGATTACATTTTGATGAAAGAAATGCAACGTCTAAGAAGCTTCTGAAGAAAGCAATACTTACTCGTGCGGGAGGGGAAGCGCCTACAGTGTACAGAGTGGGAACGGCCGTGTTTGCTAATGTAAGGTAGCACGTTATCCCAGCAGTAACCATCCCCAAATTGGTGAAGGATTCGTCAGAGAAGTGCCTGTCACAAAGCCGCGAGCTGGCGCAAATAGCCCCTTCTTCAAAATGTATAAATTCCAGCCACTTTTTTCGTAACCAGTTTGTGGTTGGGAAACAAAATAAAGTACGTGCGTTAGAACAGCCAAATACACACCGACGAACCATGATTAGAGCAGAGAAGAGAGATCATTTAGTGGGAGGGACATTCTCATTCTAGAGAGCATCTGATTGGACAAGAACCCGTGTAGTGCTGGATGACTCATCGATATTTTGTTCCGTTTTGCCGTAAATGCCCCTTTTGGGTAAAATTAAATAAACATGAAGTTTTCGTGTGTGTTTTTTTAAATGCAAACGAGCTGATGTTCCCCGTCCCCTTTCCAGAAGAGGGCTGAGTTTACAACTCGTGCTTCTCAGATATGAAGTGGTGGGATCATGCAGAGTTGGTATTGATCCATCCTTGATTAACAGCTTTGATGCAAATCCTGCATTGTACTGACCCACGTTTACGAAGCAGTTTGGTGTAAAATGGTTAGCACACACACACACGTATTTGCCTGCATTTTTGGGCACATTCCCTTCAAAAATAAAACGGAGCGACTGCGTCTTCAGTGGCTCAGATGCCGGGAGTAAATGAATACTCATGTATATTTAGTGTTATGTTAGAATCATTATTATACTCTTATACCTTTTGTTCTTTAATATTTTGAATTGTTTTTAGCTTTATTTTTTGTTTTTCATTTAAATGTTAAGTTATGAAATTTTGTTGTATGCAGTTGTCATTTTAATTTAATTTATTTATTTTTAAAATGTGTATAAGTAGTATTTATCAAGTTTTAGCTTTTAGTTTTGGATCTGTTTTAGTTGTTTTAATACTACAGTTGACTGCTTCTGTTGTCCTCATTTGTAAGTCGCTTTGGATAAAAGCGTCTGCTAAATGACTAAATAAAAAAAATAAAATGTTCATTGTAACAGCTAAGAACAGCACATTTAGGTTGTTTACCACGTAGCTGAGACATTCTTGTTAATCTAACTCGGGGGAGGAAGTAAGCTAATAGACAGCTTTCGTCACAGGTGCTTATGCCAATGTGACGCCACATTGGGTTGCAGACACAAAAGTCTCGTTGTTCAGACTGTCAGCCCAAATCCGATTTTTGTGCAAATCCGATCATATTTAGATAGTCTGAACGGCAGCGAACTACATGAAATCCAATTTGTGCAAATCTGTTTCAAGCTACATTTATATGTGGTTTGGAATCCTATTCAAATCGCATTCCTGGAAATCCGTTTCAGTCTGACCGGTCAGATCGGATTCAGCGTAGCTTTTTCATGTTCTCACGCTATGTAAAATGTAAAAACGTCAGACATTTTTATAGAAAACAATAAACGTCTTTACAGAAACAAGATTGTGTCCTTGCAAACTGCAAGTCAAGCGGAAAAAGACACTATACTGCTATAAGCACCTCTTTGAGTTTTGAGACCGACGAAGACGGCAACACGGAATATAGTCACACATTCCAGCTTCCTACGTTTCTGCCGATGCCTCATAAAACGAATATAATCCAGCGTGACCGCAACATGTTGACATGTCGTAAGACAACATCTGTATTGCTGTTATTGTTGTTTTTACCGTAGGCATAACAACACACCAGCATTGCCATAGAAATTCCGTAAAACGAAAGAGCGCTTATGGACATAGTGTTAATTTCGTTAACGAAGACTATGATGAAAAATGTTCGTTGACGAGCTTTTTTCCCATGACTAAAGGCCCGTTCACACCAAGCACGATAACTATAAAGATAACGATAAAGATATAGTTCTAAAAGTCGTTCTTAATATTAAAGAATAGCATAGTTCACACCACAACTATAACGATAACGATACAGAGGAATGATATCGTTGTGATCACTTTCAAAATGATTTTTTTCCAGCTGATGAACGATAAAACACTGACAGCCAATCAGAATCCATCCTGCTGTAACCCAAAAGGGTCTGGCAGCAGCGTTGCACTTGCACTCTCAGACTTGCACTCTCAGACACTTGCGCTTCCGCTAGCGATGTCACTTGCAGGCTTTATTTTTTATTTTGTTCTATTTTTTATTAATTTTTGTTTGAATATCTCAATATTTTACAACAGTAGCCTGGTGGTGAAGACAAGAAAAAAGAAACTAAATTAGTTTTAATTGTTTAATCACCACCACAGCGTCTTGTCTCCATTGGCAACACGCACGATTTGTGTCGATTGCAAGTGACGTCGCAGGTAGCGGAGAGTGCAAGTGGCGATTGCAAGTGACATTGTAATTTAGTTTCTTTTTTCTTGTCTTCACCAACTGGCTACTGTTGTAAAATGTTGAAAGATTCAAACAAAAAGTAATCAATAAATAGAACAAAATAAAAAATAAAAAAGACTGCAAGTGATGTCAATTGCGGAGACTAAAAGTAGACTAAAATGTTGAGACTTTTAGTCGACTAAAACTTGACTAAAACTAAATAGGATAAGGTTGACTAAATATGATAAAAACTAACAAGGACATTTTAGCCCGGGACAAAGACTAAGACTAAAATGAAAATAGCTGACAAAATGAACACTATATGGACACACAAATCGGATATGAACAGTTGCAATACACTGTGTGGACAGTCATTTATTCAAATCAGATTCTATCCGGCTATGCACAAAATCGGATTTGGGCTGACAGTCTGAACGAGGCTAAACGGCTCAGTGGGAGACATGGGGAGAAGAAAAAAAGGAGCAGGTGGATTTTTACCATCATAGGGTGGTTGCGTACTCACACTGCAAATGCAAAATTAGGTTCATTGTAAAAGTGAGTTTTGCATAAAAGGTTCCCATTTTAACATTTGAAATAAGTTGCTTCAGCAGTCGTTTTTTAACACCTCTGATTTGAAGAGTTCCAAAAGGGGACGTGGTTAACTGATAAGGTGGGAGGGTAGAGTGTGGAAAGGGAAGGGTTTGCATAAAAAGGGGAGTTTCATTAAGCAAATAAAGACATCGGGGAGAAAGGAAGACATTTATATAGCATTCAGAAAGAAGTGATAGTTAAAAAGTGTAGTAATCTGAGGTGGCAGGAGGAAAAAAAACTATTTTAACAAGGCTGAGAATAGGGCACACAAGTTTAAAGGGGTCATATGATGCGATTTCAATTTTTCCTTTCTCTTTGGAGTGTTACAAGCTCTTGGTGCATAAAGAAGATCTGTAAAGTTGCAAAGACTAAAGTCTCAAATCCAAAGAGATATTCTTTATAAAAGTTAAGAGTCAACCACGCCTACCTAAAACGGCTCGTTCTAACACGCCCCCACATGTCTATGTCACAATGTAGGAAGATTTGCATAACGCCGCCCAAATGTTCACGCAAAGAAAGAAGGTGTAACTTTTATTCTCGCTGTAGTATTGTTGTTGCCGCCGCCATGTCGTGAAGGCGCTGTGTGTTTCGTTGTGAACGCAAAACTACTTTGGCCAAAAGTAGGACGATATCCGCTTCGTCATGCCTAGAGCTGATCCGTGCTGGTCGCTGAGGAAATACATCAACTTCGCGCTGTCGATCTCCGGACCGGCTTTCACCGTGGACGAAGCGGAGTCCAGCCCGGGGTCATCACATGTGGTTGCCGCAAGCCCGC